TCCTAATCGAAACTTAACTCTGACGTCACGCGTAATTTTGCTCACGGTGGTAAGTAGCCTACTTACCGAAGCCAGATTGTATGAATTTTCTAGACATCTTGAGTACTATCTGTGAGCTTTTGGAATCGACTTAACCCTACCTTCACCATGGCCGGACATTTCTTTTGGAACCCTACATCTGCTATTGGAACCACGATTCCACCCAACACCGAGATTTGATCAGTGAGTGGGGCAATTTGTAAAATCATCGACATCTTTTGGCGTCTCGAAGATGCCGGTGTCCCAGCGGATTTGGAACTCCCTAGATTTGGACCCCCCCTCCGCGGATTTGGACCCCTCAACAAAACTGAGTGAAAACATCATCCTTAACGTTCTAGTAAAAATGGATGATAATTTACGTTCCAGAGCGTACTAAAGTATGTTTTCAATTCAAAACATGCGTATCGTTAATGCATAGGAACTGGCATCCCGTCGGATGTTTCTTTTGACCAAGGGAAAATGGGCAAGAATTTCGTTTAATGTCTGGAGAGAGGTCGTTTTTGAACCTTTTCCGCGATAGTCGAACACCGTTAGATTCAATAAGAAACAAACTTGTGACACTAATTTATTTTGTCATTGTTCAATGCCCGAGTGTTGGGACGACATGGTACAGTGCGAGGAATTTAAGACTGCCTCGGAGGACGAGTGGCTCTGCATTGTCTGCAGATTGCCAGACTCTAGACGTCTTCGTAATTGTTAAGGTGTTATTTCGGATCCCTCAACAGTTAATAATTGTTAAAATTAGAAAATAAGATTGAGTTTGATGTAATAGTCTCCACTTTTGTTAAGACGTTGACATTAACGTTGATTTGCATCTAAGAATAAGCTGAGAGTTCCAATAGTTCAGAATAGAAACATTTTTACTTATCATACGCTTTACGAACGAGTAGTTTCTTCGTTCTTGTTCAAAAACTGTTTAATGTTATTATTTTAGAAAATCAGACTGAGTTACTTTTGTGACTGGACGCAAGTCTCCACAATTGTTATGACGTTTCGTACCAATGTTGATTCGCATCAGAAGAAGCAAAGATTTATTGTAACAATTTCAATAGTTCGAATGCAGTAGTTTGTTCACATCTAATTCTTGCGTATACTGTTCGACTCGCTATGATGAATGCGGTAGAATTGGAACGAAATGGCTGTTGTTGTTTTTTTTTATACCTTTATTGAGGAAATGTTGTGTTGTGATTAAAAAGAACATCGACAAAAAAGCTTGCAAATAGAATAAGTTACCAAATATGGTACAAAGGATGCTTAAAAGGAAAGCAGGTAATTTAGTGTTAACAACTGGGTTGAAAACGTAAATTAGCCACCGTAAAGGGTGGCTAATTTACGTTTTCAACCCAGTTGTTGACACTAAATTACCTGCTATACTCTCCCACCGACGCAGCACCACAGTTTCTTTAGAAACTTACCCCTTTATGCTTAAAAGGAAAGTTTGGTAGGGGGGTCCAAATCTGCGAAGGGGGGTCCATATCCACTAGCGGATTTGGACCGGGGGTCCAAAACCGCGGGGGGTCCAAATCCGCTGTGACACCGGCACGCGACAAAACAAGATCAACTTCATTTTCTGGGTCTGAAAACTTGCAACTCCGCAAGTGACATGAAATATCTTTTTAACAATCACGCAAGGGAACGACTTGGTTTCTCGATAACTAAACCCACAAGTTCCACCAGCGAACAATTAAACTAAATAGAAAATCTCCATGTTAGCATGTGAGATGAGACGCTAATAAAACAGATCAGTTAGCTAAATCAGTATGTAGCTTGTCAATCAAATTGACCACTGTAACCATACTTTGACTTCAGCCGGCAAAGGAATCATCGATGGATCTGGACATTTTAGTTTTCTAAATGCAGTAATTCCTGAAAGGTTTTTCTAGATGTCATGCAAAGAGGAAAAAAACCCATCTCTTGGTATTTCGGAGGTTGATTCATCTTTGAATTTCTGTGTCACGCTTGTCACGCAACTGATATAATAAGTTAGAGAAGATATATAAACTGGAACTCAAATCTGGCTAGAATGTGGTAGAGCATAATTAACGTGATCATCGAAACAGCTAACAAAATCATAAATAAACAAGATAAGAGTGTTATATGTTAGATTTTTTTGCAAATTGTAGTGATTTATGCCAGTTAACGGTGGCGACAAGTAGGCGCACCATGTACATTTCATAGTCGCTATCAAGTAAATTTTACCGGACTTTGAGTTCGTCGCAAGATAGAACAACGCAAATACACAAGGAAATTTTTATAGTAATTTTATAACCATCCTTTGGTCTTATAAAAGCTTGAAGCTCAGTAGATTGTGTCATATCGGTCATTGTTAAAACTGTCTTTGTTTAGATGCTACTTTTCGACATAGGAAAAGTATGTCGGACAAAAATATTCACCAAAAAATAAATATTTCTTTGGCAGCTTCAATAACGACAGGAGATTAAGTTTAGATGATAAAACAAAGGATTATGTTCACAGAAATACCATAGGTCTAGTACATTCGTTACATGAGGTCACACAACTCGGGAATAATCACGGTGAAAATTTGCATATTTGAGCGGTCGAACGAAAAAAATTATTTCTCATAAACTAAAATATATTTTTACAAAAAAACTACACCACAATTAGTAGAACATATTGGACTACAAAATATAAAAGTAGGAGGGAAAACAAATTTGGGTGACTTGCCGCTGTTTGTTTGATGCATGCTGACATTTGCTATTAATATATTTTACAAGTCACGCAATAAAACGCCGGTAACACTCGATCGAGAGAGATGTAGATTTACATGTGATAGAAGAATCCTTGAAAAAAAAATGCAGATACTTTACGATCGAAGCAAACAAATAATCATAGAGATCTGCAGATTATCCTGAAATTGTTATCTAGCAGACAGCATGAACAACGCGCTTGAATAATTCGTACGGAAAGCTTTCGGGTCACGCAACAGATGTTAGTTCTGCGGATTTCTGCATGGAAATGTGCGATGGCGGTAAGTGACGACGACAACACTATTTTAATTTTATTTTCGGGATAGTAGCACAGTTTTCGTTTGATAGAGCTATTGATATTTGCTCTCAAGCGAGAGCGCAGAATTTTTCGTCTGTAGAAGCCAAAGTTGTAGCACACTAAAACTTGTAATAATGTCAACCAACAAGCAGCGTGTGACTTTAAAATCTCCTTAAATTTGCGATAATGATTATATACAATCAAATTATAGACTAATGAATCTCCAAAGTAATAAACGACAGAAGAAAGAAACGCTACGATTTTCCCATCGATTTTTCGCCTACATGCATCTCTCTAAACGTGAAATTTTCTATTCCTACGAAAAGTTTCGAGAGTTTTTCACATTTTTTAGCTTTCTTGATCAATCATATTGTATAAAGAGCTAAAAATGTAGGTTCATTTGGTCAGGTGATCAGCTAGAGCCAGAATTGCGTGACAGGTGTAGTTGAGAGAAACTTGTCACAGTCGCTGATTTTAAAAGGCATCCGAGACAAAAATACTAAAAAATACCAAAGATTCTTTTGATGGTTTTCAGAGATGAAATGATAGATTATAAAGGGGAATTAGGATTAGTGTTGTAGCTTTCTAACTGTTTTTTTTTCCAAGAACTGAATGAATAATGAAGCAAAATAACTCAAACGCAATTACGGGTTAATTTGCATAAAAAGTTGCCATGCTAATATTAGTTGAAAAATATCTAGGTTTCTCTCTACATCGGAAGTGACTTTCTTTGTTCTACTCCTTTCGAAAGCAACGGGAATTTCTTTAACCTTTCAATCAGTGTTCCTGACTTAAAAGAAACACCATCTTTCGCCTAAAACAAACCATCTTTCCTCCATTATTAGCCAAAAGCATCTCATTAACATTCAAATGTTCGAAAGAGTTGAGTGCTAAGGGTACTTGATCCATTGAAGGTTACTGGCTTAGTTACTGACCACAAGGCAACATCCGACCCAAGGGTGAATCGATAGACGTCGTTGATTCTCTTCAACACCAGAAATTTTTTTTTTTGCCCAAGTAAACCTGTGTCATTGGTTGAAAAAGATTGTCTTTTCGCTTATAGGTTATTAAAGAAAAAATTTCCTTGGGGCCACAACTACCCTACCCTCCTCCCCCGAAAAAACAAGCAAACAGAAAGATTTTATCTATTTTAGGAAATTTACTTCCTGAGGGCAGGCAGGCCAGCACGTGCTTTTATTACTGCCAGGTGCGTTTTGTTTATTGTGGGTCGCACTGGTGTATACTTTCATTTTTCAGCCGTCAAAACATATAACATATCATTAGCACTAACTCTAATAATTAGCGCTTTTAATTGGAGATTTATAGCGCCGTTTGGTGCAACAACACAAGCGATTAAGTTTCAGCACTAACGATTGACCATTTTAGAACGGACTCCAGCTGAACTGATTTACAATTACGATTTTTTGCTAGTACTAACGGGTGAGTTTTATCACTAGCGATTGACATTTTAGCACTAACGACTGAGTTTTTTTACTTGCGATTGATATCTTAGCACTAACGACTGAGTTTTTTAACTAGCGATTGACAATTTTGGCACAAATAATTCTCCATAGTTATTGGCGTCTACATATTCCCTGTTCGTTAAGATTCAAAACTTAAACATTCAAACTTCCTCTTACATTATAGGCAGCTTCTTCCGGTTGTTATCTTCAACGTGGTTCAATTGAACGGTTCGGTTTTTTACCTTCGAATACTTTTTCCTGGAAGTCAGATTTTATGTCTCGTTTGAATTAGTTTGAATTTAGCTCTAATCATTTTATTCAACCAGGTGCTGCTTACTAAGATAGAATGTGATCAAACGAACGAAGTTAAAATAATAATATCAAGGTTTAGATCATCATTTTTTAAATTTTGTTTACTCATTGAAGGATCTTTGTGCTGCTTCCCATTTTGAATCTGTTGATTTTTATTGGCCTTTTTCGATTGACTGCTAAATATAGTCCGATTACACATATAGATTGAAAACTTCCTGTCATTTCTCGGAACCGCCCTTACAAAGGACGCTGCTGCAGCTTCTGGCTTGGTTTCAGAAGACGAACAGTAAGTGAGAGCGTAGTTGAAGTAGCAACCAAGAACATGAATTCAGGACGTAAATTGCACTTTTGGATTCTCGTTTTCTTATTCGTGTTCTCAATAGAAGAAGCCATTGATGGTGAGTATGCAAAGGAAACCCCGAATCACTCATAAGTTTCACTTTCTGAGAAAACAGAACCTTTTTTGACGCATAGATTGCGAATTTATCTAGACTTTTTTGAACATGCAGTCATTTCAACAATATCAAACCATAATGGAAGGCAAACAAGACGGTCTGAGTGAGTTAAATTGATTTCAAATGACGCCAGAAAGAACGTAGACAAAGGCAGAATCACCGTTGTAAAACGTAAACAAAGTCATCCCGCGACTTCCTCGGCGAGGTTTTTTCCGTTTAGTAATTCATGAAGGAGCGGATTGAGTATATTGATTTTATAGTCGAACTAAATCGTGATTTCTTTTGTTTGCAACAGAACTAGAGATATCATAGTCAAATCAGTATGGATCTAATCCGCTATTCAAATTCGGAACTCGCCCAGACGAGTCTGAACGCGTATTGTGTTAAACCATTCGCTTCAGCATTGAAGCGGTAACAGAATTGAAAGGAACTTGTGAGTACTAATTTGCTCACGAAAACAAAACCCATACTTAACTGTAAGGATTCAGCAAAAAACCTATAGCAAAGAGCTGATAGAAATCTCATTGCAAACAGGAACATCTAAAATGAATGCCGATATTTTTTCAAGATGACCCGAGTTAACGAAGTTGGAAAGCTGAGAGCAAAAAATGTTCGTCATGAAAATTTCATATGAATATGACAACTATACTTTCATTGATCATTGCTACAATTTGAATCGTCTGTTTCTTTTCAGCATATCCTCAGTTCACTTGTGGATCTCATGGAATAAAACATGATATCAACCAAACAGGAGGTAAGGGTAATGATAAACTCGGAAAAAACCCGAAACCGAAAACGGATAGAGAGTTGTAAAATTTTCCTTTGTTAAATTCAAGAACTAGTACGCTTCGCCGCAGTGATCGACTATATGAAAAGAAAATGGGAGGCAGACCACAACCGCGATGGCAACGAAGACGTGGCAAAACATAAGATTTTCTGAGAAAGGAAACCCCGACGGCTGTTCATATGCGTTATTCGGCAGTTGTTGCGCTGCAAGAGATAGTAAACACTTCCGCCATTCCCTCCGACTTCGACTTGCGCTTGTTTCCCACAATTGGATATTAGATCTTTTTTTTTTGTTTAGGATTTTGCGGCCCCGAGAAAAAAGGAAACTGAAAAATATCACATCCCTGAAAGTGATGTGATTGTCCAATCAAAAACCGACGAAAGCTACAAGGAAAAAAATCCCGAAACCGCAGCGCTAAATTATTGACTTCCTTCATTGTGAGTACTGTTGCACGAGCGACTCAAGAAATGTATTGTTAGCTCAAAAGGTTTCATGAGTGGAGATTCCCAATAAACGTTTTGTTTCTCGTAGCCTTCCCTTGTGCAAAAGAGAGTTAGTAGGTCAAAAAAAAAAAAATGAAAAAGACAAGGACAGAAGCAAAACAATACAACAAGGCGGCCGAGTTCAGGGAAGCCGGAAAGTAATTATCATAAAATGGAAAATAATTTTTTTAACAAAACGGAAGTGCTGCGTCGGTTGGGGTAATAAAAGATAATTTTTGCTTTATCGACCGAGTCAACTACAGTGAAAAACCCGCGGATAAGAACCTGGGTTTTAAGAAGCTGTTAGGCTAAAATTTTCATTTTAAACCCCCTTCACATGACAACCTATTAAGGCTGAAATTTTAAGTTAGGTTCTAACCAGTGGAGTAGCTGTAAAAGTGTACAGAATAAATAGAAACTGATGAATTAAGATCATTATCTGATTATATTTAAAGTAATTTGACATAACATTTTTTTCTTTCAAGTTAAAGTGCTGTGTTGTGTGTCTATCGTGTTTACCATTCAAATAATTCTTCAAGTATTTGCAAGTATGGCACTCTACTAATATCAAAGAAAGCTTTCTGACCATCTCTGACTCTGTAAGAATCACAAAATATTAAATATAAAACATAAAAATGTATCCCAATGAAATAAATAATGGCAAAATATCAAAACGAAGTAAGCTCCCAATGGGCAATGCTTTAAAGTGATAGATCCTTGAGATACAGCATATCAATTGTTTTTGCTTGTGGCTGATATATATATATATATATAAAAGATAAGATAAAAAACACACATTGTTCATATATATATATGAACAATGAGTGTTTTTTATCTTGTTAAGCTTCCTGTGATCCGCTGACTCTTACTCTTATTGATGTTGATATCATCAGCAAAGTCCTTCGTCCATAATTTCATCGTGAGCCTTCCCAGATAGGACTCATTGGCCACAAGTCTGTAGTCCACAGGGATTTCAACCCCTTTTCCTTTCCCAGCATTGAGCCTATTTCCAATGCATTCTGCTTCACGTTCTCCAGAATCGTTTAGGAACTTCTGAAAGAACTTCGATGATTCCTTTGGTGCATGACTAACCAGGTTTCCATCTTGGTTTTTGACCGCCACAAGACATTTGTCATAAGGATTGACGAGCTCCATTTCGCATGATCATACCTCAAGGGCTAGAGCCAAACAGTTTTTAATTTTTTTCATTTCTCCTAATTGCTCGTTAAAGTATCACAGAGAACTCCAAAAAAGGCAATACTGTAGGTTGATTGCTTGGAGCTGGTTATGGATGTACTGTATTTGTCCCATGATTTTCTTGGTATCATCTTTGAAATGGCATTTCAGAGAACTGACTTTGAGTTTGTTTGACCATATGTTTTGTTAAGGACATACCTGCACTGTACTGCCTTTAGGCATTATGGCATAAATTATTCATATTGTATTATGAGATGATATTTATAATATATTTAAATAATATTCATAAGAAAATATAAGAACCTATTTTAGGAACCTTGATAGCCTAAATTTGCCTCAAGTACCATTTACATAAGAACCTGTTTAGGCTAAATTAAAAAAATCCAGGTTCCTATACGCGGGTTTTTTTACTGTAACGTAAATTGGCCACCTTAAAAAGTTCCTGAAGCTGATGTTTAGCTTCTTGTTGATGTAGAAGACACAGGACAAGTCAGGATAGAACAGCGCATCATTAACTTATTGTTTTCATAGTTTTCCTCTTTCTTTTGTCGTTTTGTTCTTTGTTGTTTTACGTCAACTGTTCTAAGTACTTTAGTTTTATCAACTTAGTTGATAACGTTAATTGGGCACCGTGGAGAATTTTAAAGCTGACGTTTCGAGCGTTAGCCCATTCGCTCAACCGGCGTCGGCTTTAGAACTCTCTACGGTGGCCAATTTACGTTATCAACTCAGTTAATAATACTTAATTACTCTGTTACACTCTCCCACCGACGCAGCACCAAAATTTCTTTATAAACTTACCCCCTTTATTCATGTGTCTCCTAGACCTAGTAGGACCCCGACGTTCGAGCGCGAGCTCTTCGTTAGAGTGAATTCCGCTCTGACAAAGGGCTCGAAAAATTACCATAAGAAAAAGCTTGACATAAGGGTGAATAAGTGAATCAATGATTATGTACATATGCGGAGCAGTTCCCAGAAACTTTCGGGTCTCGCCGTTTATGGATTCTGCTTTTTAGGTGTCAACGTTTAAGCAACCGAGTGTATATATATATACATATGTATATATGTATATATATATATATATATATATATACATGTGTATGTTTTCCTTTTTTTCATTTTGTGTAGACCTACCTAAGGTGACTTGTCTGACTCCAAGCCAGACTGTATACTTGGATGTGAATGTGCAAATCGAGTGTGGGGTTATCTCCAGTACTTATGCTAACATCACGTGGTTGCATAATGGAAAATCACTCAGTGAGAAAAAGAAAAGCCTCGTGAAGATTGACAGACTGTCCTGCGGTCAAACGCTGAAAATAAAGTTTGCCGGGAGAGACGATAGAGGACAATACACATGTGTAGCCACTAACAAGTTTGGAACTGTCAATAAGACATGCTCTCTTAAAGTCAGGGGTATGGCGTTGTAACCCTGGGCCGACTTGTTCAAAGCTGGTTTAAGATAACCCAGAGTTGGTGTGAAATTTGATCTCAGATCTGAAAGCTTTAAAAGGAAATTCAGTAAAATTCTTTTTGTTTACAGTTTCACGATTGGATGCCACACAAAGAATAGGTAAAATTATCCCGAACAGGTTTTTGAACGAAAGAGTGAAATAACCTGGATTAAATTCATTCGCGGGTTAGCGCTAATCAGCCTTCGAACAGCTGGGCCCTGTTGTTTCACCATGATTTAGCTAAAAACCATAAACTATAATGTTCGGTGCCCACCCCATTTGCTGTGATATTTAGTGCTTCAACCATTAGCTGTAATGTTTGGTGACTGAACCTTTCTTATTCTACCCGATGCAGTTAAAAGTTACAAACCTCCTCCACAAGTGGAATACGTGAAGATCGATGGTAACCGCCAAACAGCCTATCTGCATGGAACTGTTACAATCAAATGTAAATTACTTCATGTTGCGGCTGATGCTTGGCTGTTTAACGGCGCAAGGGTCTCACATGGTGGTCGTCACAAAATGATACGGGAAACCACTATTGCCAAACATGAAAGGCTGTTCGCCTTGAAAATAATTAACGTGACTGAAAAGGACGAGGGACGGTACACATGTTTAGCATTAAGAAGTGGCATATCCAAAACAAAAGATCTTGTCCTCAAAACAGGTTTGCCAGACATCTTTTAACTTTAAAAGCTGGCGTTTTGAGCGTCTGCCCATTTGCTCTGACGAAGGGCTGACGCCCGAAAAGTCAACTTTGATACTCTTTACGGTAGCCTATTTAAGTTATCAACTCAGTTGATAACACCAAATCTCCCTGTTATACTCTCCCACCGACGCAGCACCATAGTTTATTTAGAAACTTACCCCTTTTATTCACGTTTTAACTTTCTTTACTTAAAAGTTCAAGTAAAGAAGCATGGAATCGAAGCCACATAGTTCTTATCTCCGCTGTTTCTTCTGTGCATGGTTTGAGAATTCAAAGAGTTACCCAATACTTTAAAAATTGATTGTGTGCCAAAGTTACGACTAAGACACAGACATTTTGGGATCATCTCAATAAGAGGGTCGCATGTGCAAAGCAACAACCCGAGGTTCCCAGACAGATACCTCCCTAAACGTCGCAAGAAAAAAACAGTTATTCTAGTCAAAAATTTATTTTTAGATATCTTACAATCGTTCAAACAGATTTCCAAAAGATGGAGAAAAAAGGTTAGTGACCGAGGTGTCAGCCACGATCCAAAATGGCCATCGTGTTCCACTTTTTATATTCGAAAGGCCCAGTTATCTAACAAATCACAAAACGCGGTAAATGTCATAACTTCATTTAAGAATAAAAAGAGTACGTTATTCTATGAAATCCCTTTACGCTTTGAAATATTAAAGGTTAGAGCGGAGATAAAGCTATTTGGTTCTAGAGCGTACTCTTCCTTTTGAGAAACTTTTACATTCGTCATGTGTCCGAGCTTGGAATAATGACGAAATCTAAGTCCCCAAAAGGAGTTCAACCCCGGACTTTTGGATTTTATAGAGCTTAAACATGACGAGCCTTACAAACGCTTTCATTCTCTTACCAGAGCCTTGTCCAAGCTGTCATCACTGTCCTCCCGAAGGAAACCAAGCTTTTCCTATCTGTTCGTCTCCGCCTCCAATTCGTCTCTCAACATCTGATCACAACCAAGATCCCAAAAGTAAGTAACGAATGACGATAATTCCTTTAGAATTAAATGCTATTTATTAGAATACACTTAAGGAGCCCAACTATGACGGCTTTAAGCCAGCGTGAAGTCAAATGTACCAAATTTTAAACCGTCGCAGGCAAGAGAATATCAACTGTGATATTCTCTTGTCGGAGGCTGATAAAGCAGGGATGTGAAAGGGAGAGAATCAATAGGTCATATAAATTCAAAGTTTCTCGACACCCCGGAGATTAATGTCACATAACGATTTTGGGCTTGGTTCGATAAGAACATTCCACGTGCATGTAGCTCGCAGAGACTGAGTCATTTCTGTTTTATTCGAGAGATGTTTGCTAACTGTTAAATCTGTCGTATTAACTTTCTGAAGCTGACATATCGCTTGTTTTTAGAGGAGCATGAAACAAAGGAAGTGAATAAAATGCCCAGCCCCAATGGCAACAGAGGATGTAGCTTCCACAAACCAGATCCCGTGAGCATATTATTGTTCGCGGTATTAGCTTTTTCCTGAGCAAACGTAAATAACAGCTGTAGCGCACATTTCAATTGAGTATCGTAAAACCAAAACTGAGCCAATCAGATTAAGGGAAACTATTGCAATGAGAAGTCAAAGTAAGAACATGGAAAGTGTCTAAATTGTTGGAAAAACGAGAGTGACCGAGACGTGATCGATTTTAGTCTTTCATCTGATTGATATGCAGAGCAATGCGAAATTTTTTTACTTAACATAAAGCATAATAAGACAAAATCAATGCAACCTCGGATTTCTTTCGGTAATCAACTGAAACATGAAAATGAAAACGTGAAAACGTGAAAACGTCAAGTAAGAGTTCGCTGTCTGAATGAAGCCCTCAAAGGAATTTAAACCTTTTACTAAAACAAGAAACAGTTTTAACATCAAGCTTTGTCATTCCTGGAAAGTTCAGTTATTTAAAGACAGACTACGTGAGATGTAACTTATTCCTTAGGCATGAAGCAGCTTTTAGAGGATTTCAACGGGGTTAAGCCGTTAGGCGTAAAAATTGATATGTTTTAACCGTTAGCTGTAAGAAAAGTTAACCGTAAAAATTTTCCTTCCCTTCAATGTGTCATTTTGTGTCATTTTGGGGTCACCGTAGCCGTAAATGACCAAAATTCCGCTCTGGCAATGGGCTAACGCTCGAAACGCCAGCTTTTAAACTCTTTACTGTGGCCAATTTACGTTATCAACTCAGTTGAGAATACTGAGTTACCCTGTTATACTTTCCAACCGACGCAGCACCACAGTTCCTTGAGAAACTTACCCACTTCATTCACTTTTTAACTTTCACACACTTAACTGCTAACGAAGCATGGAATCGAAGCCACATAGTTCTAATCTCCGCTGATTTTTCTGTGCATGGTTTGGGAATTCAAAGAGTAACCCAATGATTGAAAAATTGACTTTAAATGTGCCAAAATTTTGACTTAGACACCGACATTTTGAGTTCGTCTCGTTAAGAGGGTCGCACGTGCAAAGCAACAACCCGAAGTTCTCAGACAGATACCTCTCTAAACATCACAAGTAAAAAAAATTATTCGAGTCAAATATTTATTTTTTAGATATCTTATAATTGTTTAAACAGATTTCCAAAAGATGGCCATCTCTGAACCATCCTCTACAGAACAACACTGACCTGAAATCACGAAAACTAGTGTGGTCCGAGAACAGAAACCTTGACGGCTGTTCATATGTGTTATGCTTAAGTTGAGGTGTTACGCTGCAAGAGATAACAAAAACTTCCTGTCATTCTCTCCAGCTTCGACTTGCGCTTGTTTCCCACAACTGGTTGTTAGATATTATGTTTTTGTTTAGGATTTTCCGGCTCCGATAAAAAAATCTTGGAAAGAAACTCAAAAATATCCTAGGAAGTAAGTCGCCACTTTTATGGAATCGAATCCTTTGGTGCCAATGTCAACGTTAATCAACGTCAGATAATTTCCACTTTATCAACCGATTCTGGGGTTAAGATAACCCAGAACTGGTGTGAAATTAGATTTCAGGTTTGAAAGCTTTTAATATAGTATATTTGATTACAGTTTGACGATTGTTTACCCCACAAAGAATCAGTAAAAATTTCCCCAAAGAGGCTTTTGAACAAAGGAACAAAAATATCCGGATTAAAATTTATCCGTGGGTTAGCACTAATCAGCCTTCGAACAACTGGGCCCCGTTGTTTTACCACGATTTAGCTAAAACCATAAAATATAATTTTCGGTGCCCACGCCCTTTGCTGTGATATTTTGTGTTTCAACCATTACCTGTAATATTTGGTGACTAAACCACTCTTACTTTACCAGATAAAGAAATCGTGAAATACTTGAAGATTGATGGTAACCGCCAAACAGCTTATCTGCATGGAACTGTTACACTCAAATGTAAATTACATCATGTCGAGGGTGAGGCTTGGCTGTTTAACGGCACGAGGATCTTACATGATGATCGTCACAAAATGATACGGGAAACCACTATTGGCAAACATGGAGGGCTGTTCACCTTAAAAATAATTAACGTGACCGAAGAGGACGAGGGACTGTACACATGTATGGGATACAGAGGTGGCATATACCAAACAAAAGATCTTTTCCTCAAAACAGGTTTGCCAGACACCTTTTAACTTTAAAAGCTGGCGTTTTTGAGCGTTAGCCTATTCCCTCTGACGAGGGGCTAACGTTCGAAACGTCAGCTTTTAAACTCTTACTGTGACCAATTTACGTTATCAGCTCAGTTGATGATACTTAATTACCCCGTTATACTCTCCCACCGACGCAGCACCACAGTTTATTAAAAAAAACTTACCTCTTTTATTCACTTTTTAACTTTCGCACACTTTCAGTTTCGACAAGTCAAGTAAAGAAGCATGGAATCAATAGGTCACATAAATTCAAAGTTTCTCGACAATCCGGAGATTAATGCCACATAATGATTTTGGATTTGGTTCGATAAGAACATTCCACGTGCATGTAGCTCGCAGAGACTGAGTCATTTTTGTTTTATTCAAGAGCTGTTTACTAACGGTTTAAATCTGTCGTATTAACTTTCTGAAGCTGATATATCGCTTCTTTTTAGAGGAGTATGAAACAAAGCAAGTGAATGAAAGACCCAGCCCCAATGGCAACAGAGGATGTAGCTTCCACAAACCAGATCCCATGAGCATATTATTGTTCGCGGTGTTAGCTTTTTCCTATAGCAAACGCAAATAACATCGGTAGCGCACATTTCAATTAAGTTTCGGAAAACCAAAACTGAGCCAATCAGATTGTTGCACTCTGTAATTGTCACCTTCGCACTCACATAGGACGCACAACTATGCAATTAGCATAAGCACGAGTACCGCACTTTGTATAAATTATAATGACTTCGTAATGAATAAAGGGTTTTGAATAACAAGATGAAGAGAAAGAACATGGAGAGTGCTCAAAAATCGCGGGAAAACGAGAGTGATCGAGACGTGGTCGATTTTCTTTCATCTGATTGGTATGCAGAGCAATGCGAAATTTATTTACCTCACATAAAGCGTAATAAGGCAAAATCAAGATTAGATATCTTAAAATCGTTTAAACTGATTTCCAAAAAATTAAGAAAAGAGGTAAGAGATCGAGGTGTCAGCCACGATTCAAAATGGCAACGTTCGTGTTCCACTTTCTATATTGGAAAGGTTCAGTTATCCTAAAAAATCACAAAACACGGTAAATGTCATAACTTCATTTAAGAATAAAAAGAGTATGTTATTCTATGAAATCTCAATACGCTTGGAATATAAAAGGTTAGAGCGGAGATAAAATTATTTGGTTTTAGAGAAACTTTTACACTTTCGTTTTTGTTTCGAGCTTGGAACAAAGACGAATTCAAATCTAAGTCCCCCAAAGGAGTCGAGCCCCCGACTTTTGGATTTTACAGAGCTTAAACATGACGAGCCTTAAAAACGCTTTCATTCTCTTACCAGAGCCTTGTCCACGCCGTCATCATTGTCCCCCTGAAGGAAACCAAGCTTTTCCTATCTCCTTGCTTCCGTCTTGCAACAGAGGACGTAGCTTCCACAGACCAGATCCCGTGAGCATATTGTTGTTCGCAGTGTTAGCTTTTTCCTCTATCAAATGCGTTTAACAGCTAATCAGATGAAGGGAAACTATCGCAATGAGAACATTGCGCAGAATTGTGTGACACATCCGGGATATTTACGGGTGCAAGGGCGCTAAATTTAAAAGACCGAGACGACAAATGGCATGACACAATAAAGAAAAATGGTAGCAATAGGCAAAGGTCCCCCTGCGTTTATTTTTTCACAGCTTAACTATATAAAATTTCGAAAGGGTTGCATATGGTTTTCAAAGAAAAGATTTTCATAATAAAATAACGACCATTTTTCACACGGTATCATCTCTTTAACCTTTACCAATTTTGTGCTCAACTTGACCTACTTTGGGTAAAGTTCAGCATGGGAAATAGCTGTATGATAACTTTGAGACCGAATTTCGCCTAAATGAAGATATCAGCGCGTTGGGTTGCATATGGACACGTTTTCTTAAAAAGTATAAAGGGCTCGTGCAACATATGAAGGGAATCCGATGTCTGAAAATAGTATCAAATCCAGCATTTCTGGAACATACATTTTCTCTTTTGGATCCTCGCCGTCCCAAGGGCCTTTGGGAGTTGATCTGATTCATTTTGAGCCTCGCGCGTGCATATTAATAACTCTAAGCTCCTCCTTTATGAACACTGGCAATGTTTCGCCTCATTTATTTACTTATTTAAGCACGAAATCAGTAATGGCTATAAAATGGCGGTAAATTTTTGAAATTTAAAACATGATAAGAACTTTTACATCAAGTTAAGAGCAAAAGGACAACGTAAAAAATACGTACGCACGCACGCACGCACGCAAAAAACACGGCTAAACGACTAAAGAAAGTTAACGGAAAATAAAATTTATCGCCCGTTCACCTAGCATATTAGAGACTGCGATAAACGAAGGCTTACATTTTGTGGTCCAGCGACTTTTTTTTTAATTGATTAATTATTTAATTGAAAATAATAAGCGACGTCACTGCTTGCGTAAATTTCGCAACTGTATCTAGTCCGTTGAGACCAGTTAACTTAACCATCTTCATTTACAAAGCATTCGAAAGAACTTCACCAACAGTCTCCTCGCTGCTAAGTAAATCAAAATGTGTTCCGTTCAAGAATTGCAGCGAGTTGATCGGGTGCTCTTTTCAGAGCTCATAGAAACCCCGATCAACCCTGCATTCTTCCACATGTCTACTCCGTTTGTTGACGTTACAACCCGATGTTCTACCTCCAAATCAACGGAGAGGGACTGTGGCAGTTGCGAGGGTACGTCAGCAGAAACACGGACGTCTTATGTGCAATTCTTCAAGATAATTTGTCTAAAATTGGATACCAGTTGACGCAGTCATCTTCTTTTCGAGTTGGAAACGTTGTGAAGAACAGAGCACAATACATCGTCAACAAAACACGGAACACGAGTAACGGCAGCATCAGAAAAGCCATGCGATCCGCATTTTGGTGTAAAGTTGCACTTCATCCAAGAACATGGAGAGTGCCTAAATTGTCGGAAAAACGAGAGTGACGGAGACGTGATCGATTTTAGTCTTTCATCTGATTGGTATGCAGAGCAATGCGAAATTTATTTACTTAACATAAAGTTTACTAAGGAAAAATAATTGCAACCTCGAATTTTTTCCGGTACTCAACTGAAAAACGCTTATGAAAACGTGAAAACGTCAAGTAAGAGTTCGCTGTCGGATTTCTTTCGGTAATCAACTGAAACATGAAAATGAAAACGTGAAAACGTCAAGTAAGAGTTCGCTGTCTGAAAGAAGCCCTCAAAAGAATTTTAACTTTTCACTAAAACAAGAAACAGTTTTAACATTAAGCTTTGTCAATCCTGGAAAGTTCAGTTATATAAAGACAGACTACATGGGTTGCAACTTATTCCTTAAACATGAAGCAGCTTTCAGAGGGTCTCAATAGGGTTTACCGTTTATCAGCCGTAAAAATTGACATGTTTTAACCGTTAGCTGTAAGAAAAGTTAACCGTCAAATGTTTTCTTCTCTACAATGTGTCATTTGGTGTCATTTTGGGATCACTGTAGCCGCAAAATGCCGAAAATTTTTAGCGTTAGCCGTTAAAGCTATCACCCCAGTGAGACCCTCCTTCAACATTAAGTTTTGTGAATACAGTCGAACCTTTATAAATCGGCACCGTATTAAGTGGTCACCCTGTGCTAAGCAGTCGGTTGCTAAAGTCCCGAACTCGTTTCTTCTTAATTATCGTTCATAGTCACCCTTTACCAAGTCCCAAAGGCCTACCTGTATCTTCCTCCACTTGTATTAAGCGTAAATTTAAAGCCAAACCACCTAAATAAAACTAAGAATATCCTTCAAAGTAAAATCGAAGTGAGTAATAGTATTGTACTTTAAGTGGACGGTTAATTATGGCATAAAATGGCGTTGTATATCGTTTTTTACAATGCCCCTAATCTGTGGAACCTGTATTTAGCGGTCAACCTGAATTAAGCGGTACCCCTGCCAATCCCCGTGGGTGATCACTTAATACATAATCAACTGTAATTATGAGTTCAGTCATTTGAAGATATACCACAACGTTATAAAGATTCAAAAGAGGTGTTATTAGTAACTTTTGTAAATATAAGCTTCCAGAAATCTTCAGACAGCTGAGTCATGCTGACTTGCATGCCATAGAACTTTCCAGAACATTTCATCATGTCACGCATTTATTATGTAATACCAGGAGCACGTCACTAACGGGCTCCTGGTAATACCACTAAGATAGTTCTTATTTAGCTTGTGGAATGTTATGATCCCGTAATAATGTTGTATGTTTAGGATGTGAGATTTTTTATTCTCCATAGTGCTGTCAGTAATGGTCATTTATACATTAAAAGAACAAGTAAGGCTGTTTAACTTTTACTTACCCTTCACTTCATCACAATTTCCACCGTTTTTCAAGAGTTCATTTACAGTAATTTAGAGACCAGTCGCACGAGGGAAGTGGGGGAAAGTTATTGAAAGGCAAAAGTTAAAGGGTTTTTGTTTCCAGTACATAGCAACTAGACACCTTGCAAGGGCGGTAACAGAGTGCGCAAGTGCTTCATATAGGACAAGAAATGACACATTGCTGTTAAGGTTTGAGGTTTACTGTTCGCAACAGGCTACATGAAGTAAGTGATAATCACGTAACACAAATATGAAAAGAATTCGTAACCAGTGACGTGGCGTAACCTTGTAGATATTTTGTTGTAAGATCTGTCGTATTAAGTCCGAAATCCTTATTTGGTGGGCGAAATTCCTTGAGCAAACAGAGGGACATTCAGGACCAGTTATATTCGAAAAAGCAACCGTTACAAGAAAGCTTATCGTCGTAGAAAATTACGCGTTTTGTAGACCGTTGTGAAGGAGGGCCTTTGGTGGAGAAGTCAGGTTATTTTGGAGAGTAAAGCAATGTTAAATAATTAAGTTATTGATTCAGAATATAATTCAGGTCATACGCGCTCACATTTCACCTTTCTGATGGACCTTTTGTACTTTATTAATTTACAATTTTCTTTTAATCGACACGCAGTCAGTACTGCGTGGCCAGTGAATGAGTTGGTAAATTTTGCAAATCAGTTACAAATAACACTGCATCATCTGAATTTTCCTCTCGTTTCAATTGTTAGATTCTTTGTGTTTGTTTAGTCTCCATTTCATTTTTGTAAGCCTAATATTGTAACACCCCTAATAATATACATGGAAAAATTACTCAGTTTTGATTGATTAAGATAAATGCAGTTTTCAGGTAATTCAGTGTAGAAGAGAGTTAATTCAGTGCAGAAGAGGGTTAATTCAGTGCAAAGAAAGAAACAAATCAGACATTCTGCCGGATTGGTCAATAATCAAAGAAACTCACGGATAGCCAATCAAATGCGAGCCTTGGATGTCGCAACAAAATTTGAAAATTTGAAAATTTGCGAGCGAAACAATGGCCGGCGTTTTAAGTAGGCTTTCTTTTGCCACCGCAGCTGAAAAACAGCTTAAACAACGAAAACACCGTAAAAAGCACTGTTTTTTGGTTGTCAGTTTGGAAAAAGTGGTGTTTAGAGAAGGGAATTGCCGAGGAAATCGAAAATGACGAGCCGACCCAGCTTAACACTTTGCTCGAGCGATCCAGCGCCGAAATTGAAAACAAACATGGTTAAACCTCGGAAACGACGATTCCATTTCATCGAAAGTGATTCGGACACAGACTGAACAATTCCTTGAACTTTTCTGCACCTTAAAGATGTGAAGATATCATTGCATAATTTATTATTGTTTTGATCGTACGCGGTTGTTTTGACCGAACGCACGGTTTGAATAAATTATTTTTGCACTTGATGCGCGCTTTGCTTATGTTTAATTATGATAAGCCATCTCCTATTTTTCCATGTATATTATTAACTCGTAATCACATGATTTTTCTCGTGCAATTTGGAATAAACAAGCACTTGTTAATTTTTTCAAAGACCACAAATTGCACGAGCCCGTAGGGCGAGTGCAATTTTGTTAGTCTTTAAAAAAATTTACTCGTGCTTATTTATTCCAAATTGCACTCGAAATCATGTGATAACCTATACAAATATCAGTGATCGGAATTTCGTTGCGAATTGTACCCAAATTGTATTTATCTATGTTTTACGGAAATAGATATTTTACGGAAATCCCCTTATTGAAGTCTGTCCGTTTCTTTCGTACCAAAATTTCCAAAAGCTGATTTAATATTAAAATGTATTGCTATTGCTTAGATATTTGTAAAATTATGTGCTTCGGTTGCCATAATTTGTTTTTAGTTTTTCTTCTGATTTGTTGAGACTATCCCGTGCATTAATTTGCTCAGAAAACTCGGGATTCATGGTCTAATTATTAACTAGACTGTCGAAAAAAACTTCCTTGAAAAACTACCTTGGTACACCTATCCACCCATCTATATCTATTCAGCATGCATGCATACCTTCCAAATAGACTCTTGGTGCAGCACAGCCGTAAGCTCGTAATCATCTTACAATACATTTATTTCGTTTTGCACTAGACACACGTACGAAAAGCGGACCTATTTTCATTGAGGCTACATGGTTTTCTCTTTTTTTCTTTCTTTTTATCGGAGAATTAAGAAGCGGAGTCATTATTTTTTAGTTTCAGGGAACAATGAGTGAGGAGGTGAATAGTAATGACTTGGTTATGTTTGAAGGTGACAGTGGTAATAATGATGGCCAGAGAAGGGCATTGTCATTAATAAGCCAGAAATCGGGCAAATATTCAAAGTGAGGGTAGATGGGGGGATGAAAGACTGGACTCTTGTCCATACCATACGATGATTTCAATTTTGCGACCTCTTAGTTCTTGTACTGTGCATCATGTGGATGCCAACTGATTCCATACACCCCAAAACAAGAAAGTTACTTTGTGACAAATAGAGAATAAAGTATCAACTGAAAATTCTTGGGGAATCATTGTGGAAGGCTTCATCAAAGTCCCAGAGGGATTGTTGTCAAAAAGAGTATCAAAATCGTTGGGGATCATAGATGAAGAGAATACTAAAATCCCAGGGGGATTATTGTGGAGGTTATCATCAGACCCTAAGGGATAATTATTGAAAAGAGTGTCGAATCGTAGGGGATCAGAGATCCTCGGAGGATGCAGTAAGAAACCAATCGTGTTTCCCTCAGGCTTGGACATCTCAAGCAAAGTCTACTCGTCTCTACTGAATTAGGTCTACAAGAAAACAGGGGGGCGGGACATGAGATATCATTGTTCTCGGAGTATCAGACATGGTCAGTAATTTTAGATCGATTCCCGTTGAAATAAGGGAACTAAATTTCCTAATCTGATTGTCTTTTGTACTGTGTTATCAAGATATCTTTTAGAGAAAACAGTTATTACAGTGCTTCAACGAGAAACGAAAACAAAGCTTAACGAATGGGACACGTTCTGCGAAGTCAAAATCCTGAATTCAATCAGGAGTGCAGAGCTTAATGGGCCATGGCCAACTAGTCATTATTTTAACATCAGTGTACGTCTTGGAGAGCAAGACACTAGATGATCTTGCTGCAAGTATGTAATGTAATTGCCAGCAAATATTGGTCGAGCCTCAGAGTTAGATGGGGCCGTCTACATTGGCAACATGAGGAAGAGTCGAAGACCAGACCAACACAGTCATCTTAGTGCGATGAAAAAACGAACATGGCTAAATTTAATGACTGGAGAAGACCTTGAAAGGTGTTAAACGACCCTCTTAGAGATAATTTCAGCAAAAAGAGTGACAAAAATTCATTCGCACGACCCACGCTTGTCACATTTATTCCTTTATTGAAGGATTAACGGCAATATCGAGGAACAATGACCCCAATGGAAAAGCTGAATCGCGTGTATCATTTTACGTCGGCAACTTTTACGTATGCCAAGATCTTTCTCAGTGTCCATCAATCTTGTTTACTCCGCGGCTCGTTGTTAGAATCGCTCTAATGGATATGTCTTCATACATTGGTCTTGAAAGCAACACCGTAACTTTGTACGGGCCGACATGGTAAACACGACACTGTTTTAAAGCCATAACATTAACTAGGAGTAATCTTGTTTTATGAAAAGTACTCCCCCATCAGCGGTGGAACACACCGCAGATTACTAAAACTACAGCTGAGATTAAAACCAATCAAAGTTACGTGACCGAAGAGCAGGGAAACGGATTATACGTACATTACGTCTAAGTCCACATGCTGATCTGCTGGTAATGAAAGCTTGTCAAAAAGTTGTACAAAGTGTAAATATACATTAAGTAAATTACATTCTTCGGGCTTTTGAAACTGCTCAACAAAAGGTCGTTTATTCCAATAATGCCGTGCGTGGTAAACAACATTTTTCATCTCTAGCCTTTCTCACAAAATATCGTGTAAAATTTCACCATGTCCATTGTCCCAGCGAAAGCAAATCTGAGCTTCTCCATTGAAAACATTCTTAAGGAAGAAAACTCTTCGGAAAGCTCTTATTTATCCAGACCTGATGATAATAGTGATAATAATGATACAATAACTCTTCAAAAAGGAACCTCTTCGCCTGAGACATCTTTGAAAAGCGATCTTCCATGGCTGGCTTATACTCGTTATTGTCCGCCCAAAATCCCAAGTAAGTGAAATGAAATCTGTGTTTTCGTGTGGATTCTCAGAGGTGAACATGTCAATGGCTGTGATGAAGTTAAAGGTTTGTAATTTTCAATTACGAGCTTCAAATAAGTAAATTCAAGGAAAAATGACTTAAATTTTGAAATAATAGCAACAACAAAAAATACAGGACTAAATAAAGCTGAAGAGATCTCCATCCAACTGCTTTGATATTGCAGATAATTATCGGCCACTTTTGTAAGTTTCGGGAATTGAAAAGGGTGTTAAATTTTGCCAAAACTCTATCAGACGACCCCTGTTTTTACACCTCGTGGGACAACTCAGACAGCTGCTGTATATCTCTTGATTTGAAAACGAGAGACCAAATGAAGAAATAAGACCTAATGAGACTTTTTCTTTCATAGGGTCAAGAAATCGTAAAACAGTTAACAAGCGGAAAGTAAGTGGGGGTCCAAGAGTACCATTCTCGTCAGAACAGCTACTGGAGTTGGAGAAAAACTACGAGGACACTCATTATGTTACTGCAGCCAAAGTTTTACAACTTTCTAGCGAGTTAAAACTTCCAGGAAACCGCATCAAGATTTGGTTTCAGAACCGTCGTGCACGGGAAAAAAAGAAGGCTAAGAAGCTGGGAAATTATAAGAACCAACAACTTTCTGCAAACGAGATATGTGCCGAGACCACCCTTTCACCTCATGAAAAAATCGGTCAGAATAGAAGCTGTTTATCACAATTTTACCCTGCTCCTATTGGGAGGAGAGAGTCCGCTTTCTCTCCAATGTTTATGTCTCAGTTAGCTCATACCGGTTGTCCATTAAAGAGGAATCTCGCATGGCCTGGTACATCAAACGTGCCTCGGGTCCTTAACCTAAAGTACATTAACTGCGATTTGTACAAAAGACTCAGTTGTTTTGTTCAATGTACATAGCATGTGAGATGTCCCTACAACAAACAACTGTTGAGTGTGAAAAACTTTAGAAAGATAAATTTGATTCGTTGACATTTAATAAAGAAGATAGTATACTTTGATTAAAAATTGTCTTCAAACCTTTCTTTTGACTCTCCTTTTAAACGGCGCCTTCAGGAATAAATACCCATTGTAAGAACAAGGCTCTTTTTCTCAAGAAGCGAACAGAATTAAAAACAGCCAGTATTCAGTTGCGTGAGTCGGAGAAATATACTAATCCTTTTAAAAAGTGGCTTTGGTTTTTCATTGAGTTCTCTTGAGCTTAGTTGATAGAGCACTTGAAAGAAAACTAGGACCTAGCTGAGTTTGTTTCTTTATTGGGGACACACGAGTTCCTTTGTCTCCTGCTCGTGACCAAACGAATGATGTGTTTATTTCTTCCACGACAAAGTTCAAAATTCACAATCTCTCGTTATCGTATTTTAACACAGAATACTTCAAGACGCTTCTGATCCTAGTAGTATGTAAGACACTTGCCACGTGTGAACAAACTCAAGCCTCGAGCTCGCTCATCATCGATTTCTTTGTGATTCAGTTGAAAGAACATTGGACCGCGAAATCGTTTGAATCGTTCTAAGAGGGAAAGGGGAGAGGGTTCTGTTTTTTACCCTCTTTTATTATTTTTCTAATAACAGTCATTGTTAACATCTCTTTTTCATTAAAATGAACGACTGAACCATTGCTGGTCAGTCCACGTCTTGAGTGAACTGGCGACACCATGGCACGTTTAGCGGACGTTACGTCCATTATTTCCTTTCACTCTCTCGTGTAACTGAACTCATGCAAACCCGATTCACTGCTTCAACGGAAAAAACGCTATAAACAGCCAGCAGCTGCTTTTGGCTCCACTGGTTAATTCAGTCTGCAAATTTTAATCACTTTATTCTCAAATAGAAATGCCAACTTAATGAAAAGCTTAGTGTGATCTTCTGCGGTTGTGACTTAACCTAGTTTCATTTGCATTTCGGGATAAAATCTCTTATGTAGTTTGAATACCGCCGTCGTTTTCATTCATAGGGTGAAATATGGAGAGACTGACAACCTGTCTGTTAAACTCCTCCTGAGAAGATTAAATTATTGCACGCGCGGTTATTACAATCTGATAACGCACAGCAAACAAATTTGGTTTTGGTGAAATTTTTAGAATACATTAGGAGATCATTGACAATGTTATAAGCTAATACAAGTCTACCCAAGAAAACTGAAGCACCGGAAATGTTTGATTGCTCATTTTATTGGAATAAGTAGGTTGTGTGTGTATGAAGTTTGATTGTGATGATCTACGGTTTATCCATCTCAAAAAGTTTCGAGATTCATTGTTGTGCAAATGAAGTTTTTGTGAGGAACATTTTTTGCAAACGACAATCAAAAAATAACCTTCTGTGACCGACGCAAACCACAATGCATATATTAACCACAATGTGGACAGATTTTTAACCCTTGTCAAGACTTTGTACTTTCGCTTATTATAGGTACACCATAGTACACCTTTATAAATAACTCTCTTTCACACAAACACAGATCAACTTATCCAGCCCGCTTGAAAAACCCAGACATCTGGCGCTCTTGTAATCCCACTCAATCACTTGAAAAAGAGACAAGTTCAAGGAGGTGTGCCTATATTTCATAACAGGTGATTGCAACCTTCACACTGAATGTTTACTTTAAGGGCTCGGGTTTGCGTCAGTGGAATAGTTTTACTCAGTCAATCTTTACATAAGGTTTACACTGATACACAGGAGCTACACTGATCAATAGCAGCCCGGATTAACGTGGCTGGTTGACCTACGGACCTGTATTCTTTGCACGTGAATCCCAGACGTTCGAATTCCTTTACAGCTAAATCTGTTTTCTCAAAACATTCACGTCAAGCACAAACTGCGCGGGCAAACAATTATCGCTAGCGTATGTGCAGTCTCGAAATAATATATCGCCATCTATTTAAACACTCTTGAATAATAATGATTGTCGCCAACTTTTCATTCCACATGTTCTATCACGAAATCTCTTCAGGCACCACCGACGGTAAATCTTGAGGTCGCTCCGACCCCCGGTCATTTCTTCCAAAGCCCCCCAAATCTTTAGTTTCTCTTTTCTTTAATCCGTGGGTCTCAAAAAGTAGTTAGAGAAGGTTGGAGTTACGGTTGGGAACGGAGAAGTTTGTGTATGATCGCTTGTGTTGGAAAACATTAAGATATTGAAGCTAATATATCGGATAGAAAGAGAGAATGCTAACTGAAAGGTATATTGACACGTTGTAGTAGTCTGAGTAAAACAACATAAAAAAGAAACTTAAAATTAACAATAAACTTAAAAAGGTTTTGGTTAGATTTGTCAAAACGTGAGACATTATTTGTTCTTTCCTCTGCCAAAGCCATAGTCAGACATGTGCCTTGGTTTTAAGCTCACGAAGGAGATGCAATACTACGATTGTTTAATTGATATTTCTACGAGTATATTTGTGTAAATTGTCATATTACTCCGAGTTTATCGCTTAACAACATTTGTGAAAGTTAAAGCTCTTAACGAGCACAATGAGTGTCGCAAAACCAAACCCAAGGTAATCACAGCAGCCGATCATAACAAAGGAAAAAGGCCGTAACGAGTCAATTAGAACTCAAAGTGAAGAGAATCAAACTGCTTCAAGCATGGGAAAATGCGAGTTACTAAGTTGCGATCGGTTTGAGTATAGAATCTGTTTGAGAAAGTGGCACGAGTTATCTGAACCAATATCAGCGCGTTATTAATGCAAAATCAAAGCAATCCCGAATTTCTTTCGACACTCAACTGAAATTTGACGCGTGTGGTAATAATGCTCTTGCCTGAGGATACAATAACTAAAGAAGCCCTGTCCGAAAGGCGAACTACAATTTGTCACTTGTTGTTTTATCCACTGGTCGAAATATGATTTATTTCAAATTTGCTGTTGGTAATAAGATCGCCTAGCGGGAACAAAAAAAAAAAGAAAAACTAAAATTTGTCTAGATGTCAATATGTGGCTCCATGGCTTAGAGGGTAGAAGCGCCCGACTATCATCTTGGAGGTACGGGTTTGAAAGTAATCGAGCCTGTATCGTAATTTTTCTTAGACTGTGAAAAAGAACTTGCTACGTCTCATCGTATTCACAGGTCAAAAATGATGATTCATTTTCTTTATTCACTATCTGTGACCAACAAAATCAATAACAACAATGTTCCCATTACATAATTGAGAACTTTTCAAGTAATCACAGCGACCATTCAGAACAAAGGTTAACATTATTATTAGCCAATGAAACTTAAAGTGGTTTTAGTTTTGCATTTAATTGGTTGAGAGCCGAATGGCAGAAGTTTTCTGGACCAATCGCAGAACAAAGTCAAGTGAAACCAAAGCAATCCAAGATTGCTTTTGACATTCAATTGAATATTGTTCTTGTTTACAGAATCGAAGACGAATCAACACCACTAAAAGTCGGTGCCATTTTATAAGTTTTTCTTGATAGAAATAAAAACTTCCTCTCATTTGTGCACAGTAGCTTAGAAGTCTAAAATATTATGCGTTTTGTATGTGAGGTGAATCGGAGTTTACTGAACCCTCTGCTTGTGTCTTTTTTTCGCGAGCTCTTCGATTCTGAAACCAAATCTTGACTCTGTGCTCCGTGACTCTCAAAGAGGACGATAAATCCCTCACTTCGGACCCTGAAAGGTACTGGGTCTGAAGGAATTTGGCCTCCAGTGCTGCCAGCTGGGATGAAGAGAAGGGAATCCTGGGATTCCTGTCCAGTTTGTGTCGGCGAGAGCCTTTCCGAGTTTTCGATCCTGGAAAAATGAAAGATAATCATAATATTTTAATTGCTGAGTCAGATTCTGACTTGATGAGGAGTTCAGGTCTCACAACATTGTAGGCTTTCTGTATTCGACGTTTAAACTAAAAAAAATTACTATATTCCACATGGAACCCTATCAACATTGCTACATGATCCTAACAGTATACCAGACACTTGCGCATACGAACTCTCTGTGGCTCAATCGTTTAAGCATCAAATTGAAAATCAGAACTGGCCAGAAACAACACCCATTATGCAGTGGAGAACTTTACCATATATTTTTAAAATTATACCCAAATCTCCATATCCAGTTTGTAAAGAGTACGAAATAACAAGATCATTGTTTCTCATCTAACAGCCTTCAACATTCTAACACACTTAGATGCTCAAGAAGCTCTCTAATACGTTAAATGATTCATTCTCGATTGTATCCTTGTCGTGGTCATAAAAAGCTGACATAAACGTTGTTAACCACATGCATGTTTGGAGGAGCACGTGATCAAGGCTTTCACACCACAAAGGGTATCACTGATTTTCCGGCGTTTTGGGTGTTTTCATTTTTTATCGGTAATAAAACTATATGAACGAAATGATAAGGTTCTCTTCGATGTAGCTGTGGCCTTGCAACAGCTATCATCTTTTAACGTAGCATTAATGATATAAAAGTGTGAACAACATCCTTTTTCTAAAATAGAAGGCGTTTTTGGAGATATGATGCTGAACAAAGACTACATATTTATTGAATCTAACATCTACATATGAGCCAGGAGATGGCTTGGCTCAAAGTATTCTCTATGGCTCAGTGGTAGAGCATCGGAGCACGGAATCCAAAAGTTTGAGGTTCGATCCCTCATGGGGACTGGGAACCTTTGCTTTGTCCCACACTCGAGACGAGACAAAAAATACATGTTTCTAAGTTGATAGTATCTTTGCGACTATACTCTCTTTTCACGTTTTTAGACATTTGTTACCAGCTTGGGACAGGAAAGATATGGTTCCCTTTGAAAATACACAACCTTTCCTTATTTTCCTATTTTGTTAATGGGTGTTATGCTAACTGAACTCTTTGATCGAAAACTACAGCGTCAACTAAAGAAAAATTTTAAGCACGTGTCACTAACTTGAGACAAGAAGAAATATAATTCCCCTTAGGAATGCAAAACTCGACTAAACCTGATTTCCGGAGTGGGTGCTATACCAATTGAACTCAATGGATGGCAGACACAGTCCCAACCGAAGTAACATATTAATTATTTGT